GTAGCGGTGCCTGATCTCGTAGAGCTCGGGAGGCCATAGATACGAGAGTCATTTTAACAACTCAAGCAAATAGTGCGAATGTCAAGCGTTTTAACGTGGCAGAACATCGAGCATGTTACTCGGGGGCCACAAAGGCAATGAAAGTGCGAAGTTAGCCTAAGAGCCATAGTTGCATGCAGATGGCTGCAGAACTCCGACATGGTAGGTTGTGGGGGCTAGACGAGCCCAGGACCCCCACGTTGTAGTCCTACGATATACACTTGGGCGAGACATGATTGTTCTACTCTTAGACAAGTATTATATTCATAAGCTTGACTAGAGTGGGGGGCTAGATGATGTAGCACAAAGAATAACTCGGTGGACCGGCCTGAGCGGTTAGCTCGGATAGGCCGGTCCAAGGAAGTTTAGAGCTAATTTATGTGATACACGGTATTAGTTAAAGATATTCATGTAAGTTGGTGTATATCTACACAATTATTGAGGAGTATCAGAGTTCTTGTTTGTTGAAGAAACTCATTATCTTGGGGAGTAAGCCATTAAACCCCTTATAAATAAGGGACCAGGTTCATTTTTTAATCCTAAGCTCTTAAGATACGCAATATACACTATCAAAATATCTGTTTTCTGACTTGAGCGTTGGAGTGTCTACGCCGGGGCCCCGCCCGGCGCTTTACAGGTCGATCCGGTTTTTTGAAGACGAAGGCAATCGAGACAGCCGAACTCTCACGGAATCGAGATTAAGCGGTTCGACCAGCAACCTCGGTGAGTCAATTCGTTTTGGCTCATCAAATTATCGAGACAGTCGAACTCTCACGGAATCGAGATTAAGCGGTTCGACCAGCAACCTCGGTGAGTCGATTCTTTTTGGCTCATCACTGGTAAGCTTCACTTTTTCTCTAAGTTGAAAGAATGAGGTACCATGAACTTCAATATTCCAAGTCTGATAAACAACTTCTTTACATCCTTCACAGTTGATCCATCTTCTGTCAAAATGGAAGATACCTTTCTTTTTTTTCCTTGGGGAGACCCAAATTAAGCAAGAGGGCTGAATAATCTGAAGCACTCCTTAACACATTGGTGACAGTAGCATTGGGGAATTGCAGAGCCCAGTCAAAAGAACAGAAACCTCTGTCAAGCTTCTCCTCAACCAACTTTGGAAAGGCTCTATTGTTGCACCAAGTGAAGAGAGAACCTTGCATTTTAATTTCCTCCATGGCCATGTTGTTAATGAAAGAAGAGAATCCCAAAAAAGAGTTTGGGCTTCTGCACACACCTCCTGATTTTTCAGATTGTGATAGGATATCATTCCAATCCCCAATTGCAAACCAACTAAGGCATTGTTGTAGCAAATTATTTTTATTTTTACCGAGTACCGGATCAAAAGATTAGTTCCCCGGGTCGATCTCTCGAGGAAGACAGTTCGGAATCTAGCGTTGGTATTAATCACACACGAAAAGAAAATAAGTCTTAAACACTTTAATCACTATTAATTTGGTGAATTAACTAAAACAAGCTAGAACTAGAAAAGTAATTTAAAGAAATAACAATTAAATCTCTAGAGAAAAGGAAGAAGTTCTAGGGGTCGGAGAATCTCATCAAGTTTCAAACTATGTTGAACGATTATTTGTTCGGTTACGAGATTTAACAAGCCTACACGTTTAGAGGGCTATGCTCAATAACTCTTCGTAACAAGAGCACATACATAAACGATAAACTCATTCAAACAAGCAACACATAGACAATACGTTTCCAGACAAGTCTACTCTATACGAGCCTAAATCGACCGACATCTCCCCTCTCGGTTCTAAATTTCGATTAACTAGGTTAGAATGGTGATCAATCAACTAACCCTATAATTCACACAACTCGCATGGATTGAACAAAACACATTCCACATAATTCAAACAAGAATCAAAATCCCTAACCCTAGGTGAATGGATTACCTTATGCTTAGATTTAATCTCATGTTAACTGGAATTAAGAACATAAAACCAATCAACAATAATAAAATGGAATTGAAAAACTTACAATCGGATTAAGACTTGAAAGATTTCAATCCAAATGTCTTTGTGTCCAACAATCCAAGCATGAGAAAATAAAAAGAAAGACGGAGAAAATTATCCTAACAATATTGAGTTTTTGGAGAGAAAACTTGAAAGGAACGATAATGGAGGTTGTTCCTTAGGTCTGGAGGTTCGTTTTGATATATAGTGCGCGAAAAACGGAGCTAAAATGAGTAAAAACAAGCAAAAAAAAAAAACAGGGGTCGATAGGGTCGCTGGGCTGCTGAGGCTCTGTTGAAGTCGCGAGTCGCGACATTTCTCTCGCGAGTCGCGACTGAAACTCGCGACTCGCGACTTTGTGCTCGCGACTTGCGAGATTCTGGGCTGCACTGCGCCATTCTGCGTTTTCGCCTCGTTTGAGCTCGTCCGAACTCGGAATTGAGTTCCGTTTTTTCCTATGCATCGCTAACGAACCCCTCTATCCAGTTATGCTCTGGAAACCAACTTTTCCCGAAGAAAAAATTCGCCCGAATCTTTCGACCTACACACCAAAAACGACAAAACACAAAAGAAAACTGGAAAAACAAACAAAAAACACCTAATGACTCAACATGAAGGAAAACACATAATAAAACACGACGGACTAATAACTAAAGAAACAACCTAAAACGGAGGAAAAAGAAAGATAAAATAAAAACGAAAAACGCAACAAAAATGGGACAAACAGGCCCCAAGTTGGTTTATCATCCAAAAGAGCTGTAGTCCATTGAAAACTGTCAGGCTCTCTCAATAGGACCTTACTGTTAGATTTGAGTATTAGCTTTTGTCATATATTTGTTCTTTATCCTTTATCTCGAGCATTATTATGTTCATTGATTAAGTTGGTTTGGGTAAATAGATATTACAAAGACTTTTAACCCTGACCACCTCCGAAGTTTAATCTTTGTCTCTAACATTCAAATTTTAACTAAGAGCGTCATCCTAGAATTGCATATACAAACAATGGAAAGCAATTACAGACATGAAAAGGAAGGCATAATATTTTTTTTTTCAAAAATTTCCATGTAAACAATTGTTAATAACTCACTCATTAAGTAATCAAAATCAGTTTGTAGCAACCAAAATAATGTAAAATCAACTGAAAACACACACACACACACACAAAAAAAAAAAAAAAATGTTTCTAGTGAGAACTACAAGAAAAGACTCGTCTATTCCTCTGTCGTCGCTGGTAAAAAATTCCAGATGTAGGCCAAAATCCTGCCTTTATCTCCTTCTCCATTACCGCGTTAATTTCCTTCGCAGAGCCCACGCCTTTTGGTGGACCTGTAAGACCCTCAAAAAGAAAACTTTGGTATCTAATTCGACCTACCTGTTTCCCAATCACGACGATTAAATCCTCACACTCATGGTGGTTTTGCTGTCAGACCGAAAATATCCTCCCGAAAAAACTCATATCCCTAATTTTACTCGTCTGGTTCCCAAACAACGCGATGAAATCCTCGCGCTCATGGTGGTTGTCTAATGCGTGAACCATATAACTTGTAGAGGTTTGGCTGAATGATTTGTAGAGATTTGGCTGAATGATTTACGTATATATTGATGGATAATCAAAGTTGAATGTTAAAATGTTTTGGGAATCTGAAAAGACACTTAGCAAAGTATTTTTTTGGCCAATTTTTAAGTTTGCTGCATGATTTTAAAGTTTTTGCATTTGTGTCATGGGTGAGATATTATTTGCATTCCTATCTATAAAAATAAATTTAATTGGCCAAAGCAAAAATATCTACCTTAATAAAATCAGATTTAACATAACTTTCAATCCGCCTCTATAGGCATCGCAAAAAGAAAAAAAAAGGATCAACTCTCCTCAAATTGCGCGAGTAATAATTTATTTTATTCGCTGTAAAATATATGGTAAGTGTATATATCCTAAACATCAAGTATATATGCTGTGTATATGTTCTATATACAATATATAAACATCACATATATTGTCATGAAAACAACTACATTGCAGCCGATTTTGAATAGATTGTATATATTGTGTTTATAGTTAGTATATATTCGATATATAACTCGATATTTTATTTGCATAGCATTTTTATCTAATCACAAGTGTGATGTTTGAATTTTTGTTCAGTATATAACCTATCATAAACTGATAATAATCATTATTTTAATATATTATTTTAGTATATGTAGAGTATATGATAAACAAATGAAGAACAAGCCAAATGAGAAACATATACTGAATATACACGGATGATGAAAACATATACTTAATAAATACTTCATATACACGCAACATATACAGACGATTGTGAGTTTACGATACATAAATATCATTTCATCAATAACGCCACTAAAAAGCTCCAGAAACAAACACGAACGACGAAAACATATACTGAATATATACTTTATATATACGTGATATGGGATATTATATACTAGACCGGTTCGGAGGACACTCCAAATAGAGCAGCG